TTTATAAATAAATAAAAACATTCATCGCGACATTCACAACTGCATATCTAGTTCGCATCTTTCTCGTAAGTTGAAAAATAACCACATTAAGATTTCATAAATTTTTGCAAGAAATAAACAATGGTTCTATATTATACATGGACCGTGCCTTCAGAAATAATGGGTCGATATCGGCTAAAATGGGCCTAATTTTTTTTTATTTCAACAAATATATGTTGTTAGGATCTTACTCCGTAAATCTAGCTTAGCGGATAAACTCTCAATACGTTTTCGCCGGAATATCTACAACAACCGCCGTCAAATCTTGTCGAACTTCGTTTGCTTCGTTGCAATCATCAGCCACCGTCGTGTCCGTACTCAGAGGAAGAGCGTTTGGAAACATAGCATGTTCAGAACTCTGGTCGTGGTTTTGCGTCAAACCCTCGTCAAGTTCTTGTCTAGTTCCTCGTTGCACAAAGCAACTCTCTTTCTACATATAGGACAAGTGGAATGAGATCGAAGCCACGAGTCGATGTAATCAGCATGAAACCAGCTCGGCAAAACTCTAGCTTTGTCTCCATCAACGAGCTCGGAGAAACAAACAACGCATTCGACGTTGTCTTTGAAGTCCTTAGAGTCGAAGTCTACGACAGGGATTGATCGGAGAACGGAGGGTTTGATACCGGAACGTTCCATGATAGTGATGGTTACATCGCTGGTTCCATGATGAGTGTTACCATTCCATACACAAACCCAAAGAAAAACATCGCGAAACCGAAATTTATTCCGAGATGTATTAGATCGTTAGAAACTGATTCTTTCATCTTTGAAAACCACTCAAAGAAAAATATCAAAACCTTAAGTATATATCGAGAAAGCAAGAACTTAAATAAAACACAGATTTTAGAAATCGTCTTGTGTTTAAGGTATTTAATAATAACAAACGTAAGCAAACCCCAGTTCAATTATCATTAGGATTCCTAATTAATGTTTTATTATGTCTCCTTTTTGTGAGAAGTAATTGAGTTTTTTTTTTTTTTGGTCGAATAATTGAGTTATAGATGTACAATGACATAATTTTACAAACTTTTTTTTTTGTCACAAAATTTTACAAACTTTAAATTTTGTTGTATTCTCGAAACAAAAAAAAAGAATTGTAATTATATTCTTGTCAAAATCGTTTTGATATTTGATCATCTTGTATTTCATCATTTTTTTTGTTACTCCATTCCTTGAGCAGGTTTCTAGAATACTTGAGCTCAAGATTGGAATTCAATGGAAATATAACCTAATCTCAGAGAAACTCACTCTGATTCTATGAATGGTGATGATTTTGGTGTCCTAATTTTGATTCAACTGCTGCTATTAGCAAATCAGTGATTGCTTGGTAAGGTGAGTTTTTCTGGTGTTGAATAAGTTGAGTTAATCTGGTGTTGAATAAGCTAAATTCGAAGATAGCATAAGACACTTTAAAACATCAAAAACTGAAATAATTAATGGTTATGTCAAAAAGGTATGAACCAGGTTTGTTTATACATGTGATGAATGTATCTTAAGCAGTGCAACTCTGCAAACTTCTATCTGATGCTTTTTCTATGCTGATTACTCTTGCAAGTTATGACATCAAAGTCTCCATCTCTTGTGTCTGCAAAGTGCATTAAGGAAGTTATTTCAGTTTCATCATTTGCTTATAAAAGTTTGTTTGTTTATGTTATGAGTGAAAGTGCATTGATAGTACAAAATTTCCAATGTGTTGCATAATCCCTTCCATAGACTTTGAAACAACAACAAATGCTTATGCTAACAACAAGTGTCTGACTGTTCAGGGACAAGCTTCATGTTCTCTTGAGTCAATGTAAGTTCGAAGTGCACAAATTTATCGTCACTTAAATCTTTGATGTTCTACAGGAAAAAAGAAGAAGAGAAAACTAATCATAAAAACAAACATACAAAGTGGAGAAACAAACAAGAGAACGCTTAAGCAACTTGAATAGGAGAGAGACAAAGTGTTTGTTAATGCTCCTAAATCCACAGTTCTAACTAAAGCTTGTAATTTAGGAGGTCCAACCAATCCTAAAGCCACAATTATGAATAAAGCATGTATTTTAACTGGATAAACTGACCATTCTATGTCTTCATTGAACGCAAGAAATCCCTGTAACCACCGGTCCATTTCTGATTGGTAGCCATAATTTCAATAGTTGTGTCATCTACCTTCACACGCAAGAAATCCCTGAAATTAAAGACGTTTTTTTTTCTTTTTGATGGACCAAAAAAAAAACGTCCTTTATTTTTAATTTTCCCAAAGTTTATGCTCTATAACATGTAACTAGGTGATTTCCCGCACCGTGTGCGGATGTAAATTTTTTTAAAAATAAGTTTACTATTTGTATTTCATTAACACAATTTTTTAATTTTAAACTTTTATGCATGTATAAATTAATATGAATAAACATAATATTTTAAGTTTTACGGAATTACATATACTGAATTAAAACGCAATCGATGGATTACAATATGTAAAATTTTGTATTTAGTGAAATAATGTCTTAATATATTAAATAAAATGGCGAGCATAAACAAAATGTGAAATTGTAATAATTATTTACGTTTAGTTTGTTTTTTTTTCTTAGTATTCCATTATATATATTTCTTCTACATTTTT